GAAAGAAAAGACCAAAATGGATGTCAGAAGAGACTCTGAAACTTGCTCTTCAATGTCAAGTAGCTAAAGTCAAAGGAAGACATGTTGAAGTAACAGAACTGAATAGAAGATTTCAAAGGCTGCTCGAGGAAACAAAGTAAAGTATTATAATGACATGTGCAAAGATCTGGAGATAGAAAACCAAAAGGGAAGAACACAGTCAGCATTTCTCAAACTGAAAGAACTTAAGAAAAATTCAAGCCTCTAGTTGCAATAATGAAGGATTCTACAAGGAAGATACGAAACGATGCAGGAAGCATCAAAAGGATATGGAAGGAATACACAGAGTCACTGTACCAAAAAGAATTGGTCGGCATTCAACCATTTCAGGAGGTACTATATGATCAAGAACAAGTGGTACTGAAGGAAGAGGTCCAAGCTGCACTGAACGCTTTGGCAAAAAAAAAAGTTCCAGGAATTGACACAATGCCAATTGAGATGCTTCAGCAAATGGATGCAGCGCTGGAAGTGCTCACTCGCCTATGCCAAGAAACTTAGAAGATAGTTACCTCGTCAATCAACTGGAAGAGATCCATATTTGTACCCATTCCAAAGAAAGGTGATCCAATAGAATGCAGAAATCATACAGCAATATCATTAATATCACACACAAGTAAAATTTTGCTGAAGATCATTAAAAAGCGGTTGCAGCAGTACATGGACAGGGAACTGCCAGAAAGTCAAGCTGGATACAGAAGAGGATGTGAAACAAGTGATATCATTGCTGATGTCAGATGGATCTTAGCTGAAAGCAGAAAATACAAGATGTTTACCTGTGTTTTATTGACTATGCAAAGGCATTTGACTGTGTGGATCGTAACAAATTATGGATAACATTGTGAAGAATGGGAATTCCAGGACACTTAATTGTGCTCATGGAGAGCCTGTACTTAGACCAAGAGGCAGTTGTTCAAACAGAACAAAGGGATACTGCGTGGTTTAAAGTTAAGAAAGGTGTGTGTCAGCCTTGTATCCTTTCACCATACTTATTCAATCTGTATGCTGAGCAAATAATCCAAGATGCTGAACTATATGAAGAATGGGGCATCAGGATTGGAGGAAGACCCATTAACAACTTGTGATATGCATTTGACATAAATTTGCTTGCAGAAAGCCAAGAGGACTTGAAGCACTTACTGATGAAGATGAAAGACCACAGCCTTCAGTATGGATTACACCTCAACATAAAGAAAACAAAAATCCTCACAACTGGACCAGTAAGCAAAAT